AGTTTCACTGAATCTGTGAATTCATCATTGTTAGACCACCATATAAACCTCGAAGCACTAAACTTCCTTTCCATCCCCAGTATTGCGATTCGATTCATCAAACCGTTCGCATCGACGACCCCCTACGCCGTTGCGGAATCGAACCCTACGGAACTCCACTCTTTGGCTTAACTTAAAGACTACTGAGCTAGCCGTCATCTAACTGATGTTAATGTAGCGAATTATACTTTTTAATAGCCCTTTCATTCACTTGATTACTTCTCTATAAACATGAATTTTAACTCTCATATCCATAGCAGCGCTGATGTTTAAAGGTGAATGACACGGCCTAAAACAAATGAATACATACCACTAAAATAGCAGCATCATAGATGTCTATTGGCAAGTTACATGCTGGAATGCAATAGAAAGAGAAAGAAGATATGAAGAACATGCTATTCAATAGAGTATTATTTTTGACCATTCTATAACAAAAGTGTAAAATGTTCTTAACACATAGAGAAACGTTGCTTGGTCACTTCCCCCAGACTAGTTATATGTATATATTTTTTTGTTTTCTGTTTTGTCTACCAACAAATAGAGAACCCTTAAGGAAAAAAAATAACAGGAGCAACACAGAATTAACAAAAGTATAAATGTGAGTGAGAATATAATCAGTTGGATAATAGTGATCAAGTCAGTGAGAGAGAGAGAAAGATGAACCCTTTCTTTTTCTCTCTGTCTCTCTCTCTCTAACAGACACCATAACTACCATTTATTAAGAGAAAATAATTGTAAAAAACTAGGTAGGTGACTGATAAACTCACAAAAATTCTTTCTAACTAATTATGCTTTTTTCATGCAAAATTTTTTCACCGGTTAATAAATTTGAATCAAGCAACAACAACAACAACAAAAAAACAATGAATGTAACAAAAATAGCAGGAATTCATTGAATTTCAATGTTTCTTTTCAATTGCTTACAACTTCAAAGTCATAGTACTAATCAATAAAAACCAGTATATGTATGATGATGATATGATATGATAGATGCAACACAGAACTTCGTACGTACGCACGTACGTACATCATTTCAGGTTGCCATACCACATCAGAACAGAGATGCAACTGTCAGTTCAAATCAAAGAGTGATAGCGATAGTAGAAGTATTAGTAGTAATGGAGAAGATTACGGTTCAAAGATATGATTCGAGAAGTATAATTCAGTGAGATAAATTTAGAAGGAGAAAAGTAGAGATGATGAGGAATTCAGAAGTCTAGAATTAGAGAGAACACAAAGAGTGCATGCACTTGCGCCATTGCAAACGATTCTGAGCCATGTCTTCCAGGGTATCTAACCATTGGTGACTTTTGTCTCGCGGACCCCAACCAGGTAGTCTACATCTACCAACATGACTCAGTCCACTTGTCAGTGACTTCATGGATTTCTGCCATGTTTTGGTTTGACCGCGAGCTCTCGGTATCCGAGTTGAGATTTCGTCAGTCACCAGGCCATCAGCACTGATGAGACTCTCCAGATAAGTGAAGCGGTCTACAGGTTCGACTACTTCACTCCCAATATATATATAGGTAGATAGATGAACGATGTTTTGTGATTTAAGGAGAGGTTGGAAGAAAGCTAGGGGCAACCAAACCAAAACGTGACACAAATCCATGCAGTCACTGACAAGTGGACTAAGTTGGTGGAAAAAAATTGTATCTCAGATGGATGATTGTGGTTGCATTCGGTTCTCTTGTAGCACCTCACATATATCTTGTACTTTTATCATTGTTGAGCTTGTATGCGCATGTACGTTTGGGCATTACTTGCCACCTACACATATAGTTATTTGACTAGCTTTATCGATTAACAGTTTGAATAATTCGATGTCAATATCGACTATACATATTTGAATTCAATTAGATATTTGTATCGATCATAAAATAACTTGAATAATAAAGAGATTGTGGCAACGACTCGTATTCTCTCGTAGCGATCATCAAGACGGAGATCTACGGGAAATCGAAGATAACGAAAGTCTAACGCCTCAATAAATTACCAAATGAAACTTCAGCCTTTGGTTGGTTTGTGTTTAACCCGAAAGTACCTTGTGTGCTGGGGGGGATGTGAGGAGCAGCGCCTGAGATTATCTGGAAGAAGAAAGAACAAGAGAAAAAGATGAGCCGACGACTCAGTAAGCACATAGAATGCACTTACATGCAATATACGAATAAACAGACAGCAACCAGATATAAAGCCAGCGTGAGATTAAGACAAACTGATAAACGAAACCAGTAGTAGATAGAGTTAGGTTTCGAATGCGTTACATGACTCCTCCTGATAGAAAAGCACTGTCCTCAGTGCTTGCGGTACCTGTGTTTCTATGAGGCTGAGTTACATGATGTGAAATAGCCGCTGTGCTGTGTTACATGGAGTGGGATGGTTGCTGTGGGATGCGCTTGAATGTGAGCTAACTGAATCCCACCTCCATCCTGTCGGGCTCACCAATTTATTGTGGCTTTAGACTTTCGTTATCTTCGATTTCCCGTAGATCTCCGTCTTGATGATCGCGTTTTTATTGAATATGTGTTGTTATTCATTTCACTCATGTGTTTGTGAAGGTGTTTTGTTCTCTGAGCTCAGAGAACAAAACACCTTCACAATCATCCACCTGAGCTACAAGTTTTCTCCACCATCTCAAACTCATGTGTTTAAATATCTTTTGGAAATCTCGATACTCTAGAATTTTCTTTACTGTAGAATATTCATTCGTTATTGTTTTATTCAATCTTTTAACTTATCATAGATTGTTACTATAATATGAATTAACACGTATATTTCTCAATTTAACCTTTAGTCAAATTTACTTCAACCTTGATTCCAATCACCTTAATGTCATCAAAATAAATCCATGTTCCAATTTGTTAAGGACGTTGAGTCCCCAGAACTCACTTGATAAAGCTCCTAATTTTGGATTTTATGTTTGCGAGCATGGGCTGATCGGTTGACCTTGAGAAAACATTTCCCACCAGGGAATTCCTTCATTGTCACTAGTTGATGTGGTATTTTAGTACGCTATTTTTGTGACCCTGCCAAGGACGTTTTCTATCATGTATAAATAAACTCGATTTGTATGCTTGTCGACCTCTCATTTTCTGGGTCCTTGTAGACTACACTCTCCACGCCATATCAAGACTTCTTCTTATACTTAGTGGGGCCTTGGAACGCTCGGATTAGAATAGCCTATCGTCTCACTGGATCATTTGTCTCGCTCTCGTTTACCGAATAAGGTGAACTCGTAATAGTTTTTAAGCATATTCATTGACGAGCATATCAAATTTATTTCACATTCTTTCTTTAATTAAACTAATAAATCAATTCATAATAATATGAAAATATCGATAAAACTATTGTTTAACTCTTAGAGTTCATTCCTTTATCAAAAAAATGTTGATTGGATTGGATATTCACAAGGTTTATTAATTTTCGTTGATTTCATTTCATCTCTGTATTATTTATTTCCTATTATTATCCCTCTTGTCCTTGTTATATATTTATTTATGATCTCTAATAATTAATAGGCATGATCTGATTTGATTTGATTTGATCTAATTTGATTTTTCTCTCTCTAGGGCAGTAAATAGCATGCATGATCAGCTGTTTGAATACCTTTTTTTTGTCGTTTAAAACAAATAAAAATGTTATCAGAGACTAACTTCCGTCTTGTTTGTCCATTCCACATAATTTTATCTATCTATCCCTGAAACTTCCGTCAATAAAATAACCTGTCCGTATATCGGAAATTTGATTGTAAACGAGTACATACACACACAACAACACAACACACTCATATACATGAGAATATGTCCCATCTATATGTACATATATACATACACACACAAATAGGTAATACACACATTGTTGTACACACAAACGGATGTACCACATACATGCCATGAAACATTATAATACGTATATATATATGTATATATGTATGGTACGCTTCCGCCCTTGACTGTATACAATTTATATCTAAAACACGGAAGGCTGAATGTGAATACACACTGTGTTGTAGGGCATTTTTTTCTGTTCTAAACTTCTGCTCATTTCATTGTATAAACTAACAAAACGACTAACGCACACACACAAACACAAATACACACACACACTAATCCATTATTCATATTAGGATGATTGTATGAAAAACATTGTTCGTTTCTTATTTCCGCTCCCACTTCCGTGTCTTTTACATTATCAATACTAGTCGATTTATATATACACACACATACACATACAATATGTAATAATAATAATAATAATGATAATAATAATAGTAGTAAGCCACCCCTGCCTGAAATCTGTTAACACAATGGCGTCAATTCACTGTATATTTATTATTTTCCTCATATTATTCATAATAATAATACTTATAATAATCAGTATTGGAAAAGATGACTCTTCTGTGTTTGTCTGGCCTATAATATGCAAAGAAATAGGTGAAAATATTGACCAACTATTATGAATTAAAAAAGGCTGAACAAGAACAGTATATAAATAGATATATATATATATATACATAGTAGATTTAATAATCATTTAAACACACAGATTCGATCAGCCCGGAGGAAAGTTAAAGAATTGTCAATGTTCAATGCAAATATTTTCATTACATTGTTACATTGTGAAATTCACTTTGATCATCTTTAACGTGTTGTTTCATTTGAATTGGATAAGAAATGTGTAATGTGTGTTAAAGATATTTATTAAAAATTATTTCACTAATATTTGAATATGTACAAATTGGAAATTGTAAAGTTTGTTTTTTTTCAGTTTTTGCGTTACACTATTGAATGATTGAACACACAATATGAATGATATACATAATTTAACACCATACGATTATAGTAATAATAATACTACTAATACTAATACTACTAATCAAGATTTATCAAATTTACCAATAAAACGAAGTCGATTAGATCATCAGCATCATCAGCATCATCAACATTCAACAGAATTCATTCATGAAACAGTGGAAACCGCTTTGATCAGACCGGAAAATGATAGTCACGATAGTCACAATAACAATAATGATAAAGACAAAATGGAAATATATGATACCGGAATTAAATTCACTTCTAGTCATGAATGTCAACATCAAGAATCAGATAAAACATTATTATCATCAGCCATGTCATCGTCATCGACAACAATAACAACACAACAAACACTAACGAATACAAATGTTAATCATCATAAATGTAATTCATACTTGACTAATGAAAATAATCATCATCATCATCATTTGGATGAATATCAACAACAAACAAATAGAATAGATAATGAGCAAGATACACAAGTTCAACTTCAATTGAATAATCATGATTCAGATGATGTAAGTTATGATTATTATTATTATTATTACTATTATTGTCGTTGGTATAATTGGTATTACTATTATTAGTAGTGTTGGTTGTAGCAGTGTAATAAGTGAAGAAGACACACTTTATTGCATTATCATGAAATATTCATTTGCAAAAACAAGATTATTCTTGTCTACCTTCTGTCATATATCTGATCGTGCCATACATCTGGATTGGATACTGTTCACTTCAACTGTATTAACACAGGGCTACTTAAATGCTTTGTTGTGAGTAGAACACATCAAACTTGCCTTCTGTCATAACTCTCTAGCGTACAGGCGCACTGGCCTTCGTAATTCTGTAGACCAGCTAAGCGCACTTAGTCCACTACCGGTCTCCTCTCCAACAACACAAATTACTCCATCCAATATCATGTCCGCCCGACTCCTCAACAGTATTTTAAGAAATGTTCACCTTACCCTGATCCATTGACAGCGATACCAAATGTAGTGGACGAGGGTGTGTGATGTGATTCTTGTCAAAGTGAATGATAAATACAAGGTATATGCAGTTGATCGGTTTTTTTCTCTCTCAAGAACCTTGTGTTTATGCTTGATGAAATACATTTAATGAGACGGTTATATAATAATAATAATAATCAGTGTTCAGAGACTGTTCAGAGTATGATCTAACTTATAACTGGTCCCAGTAATAAGATCTATAATTCAAATTTCAGTAGTATTTCATAATCATTATCTTTTCATTTTATTCTTACTCAAAGTTTAATTTTCTTTTACAAACCTTTATATATTACTGTTATTCCAACTGTTCTTTTGTCATTTCGTGTATTGATTTGGGTTTGATAGTTATAAGCCACACATATATTCGTGTCAAAGGTAGATAATATTCATCTTGAACGTAGAACCAGTAACATTTAAAATTCTTATAATATAAAGGAGTACAAGTTTTATTCTATAATACCTTCCTGAATAGTTCATTGATAAATTCACAAATTGTGAAACAGATGAGATGAGTTTGAATTCCACACAGAGCATCATTTTTCTTAAGGTTACTAACAAATCTCAACTATTATAAACCTGAAAGTATTAGATGGCTGTTTCGTTCTTGTACGGAACTCATCAGTAATGTGCATCCACAATCCTCACTCCCAAACGGTCTAACGCAGACCGATTCTTGATTTCAGTGAAACTTAACAATCTCCAGAACCCTTTAATGAAAATCACAACTGGCATAAAATTTAAATCCAAGGATTCATACTGTCATTACTCAACCATTTAGCGTTTCTAACACAGCGTCAACGTCATCAGAAAATAATTCTACTAGTATTAAAACATTAAAAAAAGCATACGATTGTTAGTAATGCAGTAGTCAATCAGTTCTGAACTGTACTCGTACGTATTTATTAATATTTACTCAATTTTTTTACACATCACTCTGTGTCAGTTTTGAACCTACTGAAGAATAACCTTTTTCAAGTTTATTTAATTTTTCCTTGATTTTTATTCAACTTTTAAAGAATATTTTTAAATTGTCTGAATGACAACTCATTTCCATTAAGTCTGCTAATGCGTTAGTTACAACAAACATAAGTAGTATACATAAATTTTTTAAAAATATACATTTATTTTTATTTCATACACATAATTATTGGTACACAGTGGCTACCTAAATATTTATGCGTAACACAGAGTGTTGAATTTATGAGTGAGATAGGATACTCCCCGGCTGCAAGCGATTTTTTTTTAGAAGACCACTTCCTGAGTCTTCGACCTAAAAGTCTAATCCACAAAGCAGTGGAACAACATCAAGAGATACAGTCTTAAGGTAACCGGTGACCGACAGTAGGTTCATACATCATTCACTCCGTCACGATCCTGGAGCCCATATGTACCAGTGGTTTGGAATGAATGTTTTACAACTCTCCTAGGTGAAACTTCTTCACTCGTTAAACCAGTCTGAATGCCGGATACTGTCTTTTCATTCTTTCAGCGACAGTTGTGCGGTGAGAAGGCAGTGAGTAGGACCTCCCTGACAATGGATTTATACACGTAATAATTGCTTCCATAAGAAGAACTATTAATCAATTATGGAAATTTACAGTGTTTCGTATTAAAACTATCAATCTACTTCTGACATTATTTTAGTACTTGCAAAATCTGAATTGATTACGTATTGCTACTGTGAACATTAGACATATAGATTTAAATGTACCGGAACCAGTTGATTACAAATGTAGATAGGATATTAGTTGGGTAGTGTAATGTTAGGTTTGATGGATTATTATTAATGATAAAAATTTATCATTTAACTCTATGAATCAACTAAAAAGTGTTTTACACAGTTGTGTATGTGTAGGATTTAGAGTGGATTCTAGAAGTTTAGATACGCGCCTTGCCCAGTTAATCCGAAAAGAAAGCAATTTTTCTGGGTAAGAAACAGTTCTATTATTAATCAAAAAATACAGATAATTACCTAAACAATATTACACTGTTCTCCGTCAAAATTAACACAATGTGTTTCCAATTCTGGAAGAATGCTTCCGTATAGGTCTAAAATTACACCCTTCCAGTTAAGATGCACGTTTTACCCGCCAAGGTATCAAATCCGATATGGCTGTAGCCATAATTAAGTATCAATTTAAACAACATAATACAGTTTAGTAAGAAACGTAGAAACTCCAACAAAATACAAATATTAACATCACAAAATGGAATTAAACAGATCACCAAAATGTAGCACAGAAAGAGTCAGTAAGAACATATTACAGATTTATATACATGGAGGGATTTTCCCAAAACAAAGCCTTCAAAATGGATTCTACATATATCTTATTAGTAGAAATAAATATCGGCATTTTTCGTTCATTCTCTAGAATAACCTTAAGTGTACAGTTACGATCCCTGTGGGATATATTTCTCGAATTATATCTCCGATCAATAATCTTCTTGATCAGCCCTGATACTTGTACTAACTCTAATACTATGAGATTTAAACTGATGAATCTATCTCTCTGTGCTAATGTTGTATGGTGACTTGAACTAATGTAGTTATGTACGAAGTTCTACGTCGTAGCTGACTGACTGAGAATATCCTTAAAGCTGGCTATCATGTATAAACCAGTTGAGGATTTCATCGTTGGGAATTGCGTCGAAAGTTCAAAGTTCTAAGATGTCCGTATAAAAGCACAACGGACGAATGAGAAAAATCTGATAGATTTATGTCTTCATTAATTAAAGCAAAGAAAGATTGATAAAAGTGTATAAGAACAAAAGATCATCTATTGTCAATTTGTCATCAATAACGTAGGACCTTGTCTGTATACACATGTAAAGTACAGTAAAATCAAATTATCTATTTAAATTTCAGAGTCAGCGTCAGTAGAAATAAAAAATTCTGAGCATAAACAATAAAATTTGTGAAGTATTGATTTACATATAAACAGTATGATATAACTGTAAAACTCCAGAATCTAAGGGAAGACAATTGGATTTTATCTACACTAAGATGATAGGCGCTGAACTACATAACCCAACATTGTGATGGTGTTTCGTTCTTTGAGCTGGATGTTTTAGTTGTAAAGCTTTCATTATTCTCCTAAACAACATCATCAGCACAAACTTCAGATAGAAGTGAAGTATTTATATCATCCAGCTCAGTGAACGAAGCACCACCACAATCATTCACCTGAGCTACAAATTTTCTCAACCATCTCAATAACCCAACATTTTTAACAATCGCTTATAATAATCATGAACAAGGATCTGAACAAATTAGTCTGCATCTCAAACTACACACAGCTCAATCCAACTATCAATAACTTCGTAAACTGACCCCTACATTTTTTTTACTAATCCACTAACAACCATCGCTAGACGAAGCAGATAGTCATTAATAGTGAATTGAATAATTTAGTAAACTGATTTAAAATATGAAATATGAGTATAATATGAGTAAATACTTTGTTTAAGATTTCATAAATATCAACTAATTTAACTCATCATTATTCGGTCGAAAACCTTTTTTCAAGAATTCTCAGAAGGTCACTTTTTCGTTATTACTGATAGAATTTATTTTTTATTTAGTGAATAATAACGTCACCTATATTTATTTCAAAAATTAATCAAAGGACTTTGTAATTTCACAGACATAGTTCTTATCACAGCTACCCACCCATTGCTTACTTACACCTGTTATCTCCAATGAAGCATAGACCTTTTAACTGCCATTGTTCGGCCAACTCTTTCCTCAGCATTCCTTTCCAATTCTGTCCAAATGCTGTTCATTCTTCATATTCCTGTCTCCTGTCTTCGGCGTAATGTGTCCTTTGACTTTGAGTCTTCCAAGTCAGAGCCTGTGTTGTGACACATTTAGGTGCTTTCCTCAATATATGTCCTATCCACTTCCACCGCTTCTTCGCGATTTTCTCCTCCACTAGAATCTGGTTTATTCTCTCCCACAGTAGACAGTTACCCATAACTTTTACAATTTAAAAATCATATTTACAAAAAATAGGTTAAAATTTACTTATATGAAAGAGTTTAGCTGGAAAATTCTTATGATCACATATCAGTATAATATTAGCAAGAATGTGAATACCAAACGGGATTGTTAAGTGACCAGCTATTGATAATAAGTAAGCATAAAATAAGTAAAACTCAGTTAGTTTAAATGAAATTACTAATCTAGAAGATGGTTGTAATTAATTGACATAATGTTTTTATGACTTGACAATTGAACAAAATTTTGATGTTTTAAATGAAGTAATGTTTGTATCATCAAGGTAGAGACAGATTAATAATCATTGCCTCTTGGACACATAAAATTCAGATTTCTCATACTTTAAAGAACTAATTTCCGCAAACTTTACAAGATTGGACTTTGGCTGTTTATTCATCAGCTTGAAATATCAATTTTTTCCTCTTGTTCGAACTCTTTTTGGAATATCACGTCTAATCGTTCGGTCAACAAATTATTCTTTCAATAGCTAGAATGGTTTAAATGATTGAGACAC